CACCACTCTATAAAGCCTTAGTAAGGCCACACCTAGAATCCTGCATCCAGTTTTGGTCCCCACACTATAAAAAAGAGGTTGAGACTCTAGAAAAAGTGCACAGAAGAGCAACCAGGATGATGAGGGGACTGGAGGCTAAAACAGACGATGAACGGTTGCAGGAACTGGGCATGGTTATTCTAGTGAAGAGAAGGACCAGGGGAGACAGGAGAGCATCTTCCAATATTTGAGGGGCTGCCCCAGAGAGGAGGAAGGGGGTCAAGCTATTTCCAAAGCACCCGAAGGGCAGACAAGGAATAATGGATGGAAACTGAACAAGGAAAGATTCAACCTGGAAATGAGGAGACATTTTCTGACTGAGAATGATCAACCCATGGAAAAGAAGTTGCCTTCGGAAGTTGTGGGAGCTTCATCACTGGAGGCTTCCAAGAAGAGACTGAACTGCCATCTCTCAGAAATGGTGTAGGGTCTCCTGCTTGGGTGGGGGGTTGGACTAGATGACCTCCAAGGTCCCTTCCAACGCTGTTAATCTGTAAACTGCTAGTCTTTGGGAACGACAGAAATTCGGCTTGCAAGCAGAGGAAGTTCTCTCATTACGACCACAAGGAAGGCCCACATTTATGACGCTGAGTGAGACAGTTGTTAAGTCAATGTTGCCCTGTTTCACGTCCTTTCTTGCCACCGTTGTTAAGTGAATCACTGCAGTTATGAAGTTAGTAACAGGATTGTGTAGTGAATCCGGCTTCCCCCCCTTGACTTTTGCTTGTCACAAAGTCGCAAAAGGGGACACAGCAACGGACGGTCGTAAGTATGAAGCAATTTTTGATCACGTGATCATGGGGATGCTGCAATGGTCGTAAGTGTGAAAGAAGGTCGTTAAGTCACTTTTTTTCCAGTGCTGTTGTTAACTTTGGCGTAGGAGGCTAATGCCTCCTACTAAGGCAGCATTTAACATCCAGCTGCCTGCAATTACTGCGAGTTCAATTCTCACCAGGCTCAAGGTCGACTCAGCCTTCCATCCTTTCTAAGGTGGGTAAAATGAGGACCTGGTTGTGGGGGCAATAAGCTGACTTTGTATAAAATATACAAAAGTATGAAGGCTATTGCTTAACACATTGTAAGCCGCCCTGAATCTCCGGAGAAGGGCGGAATATAAAAATAAATAAAATAAAAATAAATAAATAAAATAAACTTTGAGCGGTCACTAAACGAAGTGTTGTAAGTCGAGGACTTCCTGTATTTATAGTTCTCTTTTGTGAAAAGTACTCCTCAATTCTTGGCTGTTTTGCAAAGTTCAAAGGAGGGAAATATTCCGGGCTAACGCAATGGCATTTCTCTCTTTCTCCCATAACTATCAGTTCTAAGCAAAATCCATTATCTGTGTATTTGTCTTCCGTATTTGTTCTCATCCAAACAAAGTCCAAAAATAAGTCCAGCAAAAGTAGTCCCAAAGGGCTTTTTTTCAAGAGGAATTTCTGGTTTTTTCTTTGAAGACATTTCGCTTCTCATCCAAGAAGCTTCTCCAGAGCTGAAGAAGCTTCTTGAATGACACAACATAAGATCAGAGGAAAAAACCGTCCAGGCCGTGTCTCCTATTTAAATTTTTTATTTTATTCTAATACGAACATTTTATCTTTCATTAAACAATGTGTCGTCTAGGTACAAATATTTTGTACCATAACAATTAAGATTTACAGCCATATTTAATATTTTGTCTATTCTTAATACTAATACCTTACATACCTACTATTATAACAATCCTCTTCTTAGCTCATTTACCTTTGTTAAAACGTTTTCCATATTTCACTTCTCTGCTTTGCTTTCTAATTTTCATATTTGTTCTCTAACCATCGACAGAATAACTCCCATATACTATAATAATCAGGATCTTCCTTTTCTTTAATTGCAGGTGTTCATCTATTCGTTTCTGCACATTCTAATATTTTCTTAATCACCTATTCTATTCTATTCTATTCTATTCTATTCTATTCTATTCTATTCTATTCTCTATTGTACTCTATACTCTACCTCTTCTCTTCTCTTCTCTTCTCTTCTCTTCTCTTCTCTTCTCTTCTCTTCTCTTCTCTTCTCTTCTCTTCTGCAATAATGCAAAATGCAAAAATGTTTGATTAGACACATAAAGGAATTTGTCTCCGGTGCAAAAGCTCTCAATGTACATGCAAAGCAACAGAGTACTAACAGAAGAAGCTGATTTCTTAGGCTGGAGTTCCCTCTGCTGTCTGTCTGGAGATGGTCCCACCAATTTAAAAAAAATCAAGGAAAACAAAAGAAAAAGAAAAAAAACCCAATTTTTTTTTTAGATTTAGACCTACACCATTTCAGACACGTAGCTGTCCAGTCTCCTTAAAAGCCTCAAGTGATGTAGCAGCCACAACTTCTGGTGGCAAGCTGTTCCACTGGCAAATTGTTCTCCCTGTTAGAAAAGTTTCTCCTTAATTCCAGGTTGCTTCTCTTCTTGATTAGTTTTCATCCATTGTTTCTCGTCTTGCCTTCTGCGGCTGGATTTAAATGATTTAAATCACTAGTAAGAAGGCTTGATTTAAATCGACTCGATTTAAATCATGATTTTTAAAGAGCAACTGTCATCTCTGCTACTCCTTTGACCCACTGTTGACTCACCGACAGTCTCAATATTGCAGACTCTACTGCCTCGTGCTACGTAACTAAGCTCCATTTCACGCTGAATAAATTAAATTATGAATGTATCTTAAATAGAAAACTATCTTTCGATTGATTTTATCTTTTACATAGATTTATTAAAATAAATTTAATAAAAATCCAAAAAGTCCGATTTAAATTTTAAAAAATCAGATTTAAATAGAAAAATTCAATTGTTTTTATATATATATATTTTTAAAAAATCATAGATTTTTATCCACCCTGCCCTTGGGTGATTGATCAATCAATCAATCAATCAGATAAAGCTGGAAGCTGCTATCCTGTCTCTCCTAGTCCTTCTTTTCATTAAACTAGACATATCCAGTTCCTGCAACTGTTCTTCATATGTTTTAGCCTCCAGTCCCCTAATCATCTTTCTTGCTCTTCTCTGCACTCTTTCCAAAGTAGAATATAAAGAGCCTTGATGGTGCAGCTGACTAAAATGCTGTTAAGTAGCACTTAGCTGCCAGCTGCCTGCAATTACTGCAAGTTCAAATCTCACCAGGCTCAAGGTTGACTCAGCCTTCCATCCTTCCGAGGTAGGTAAAATGAGTACCCGGATTGTGGGGGCAATAAGCTGACTTTGTATATATAAAAAAAGAACACCGCTTAAGGGGGCCTGAAAGCCCTACTAAGCAGGTATATACAAAAGTATGAAGGTTATTGCTTAATGCATTGTAAGCCGCCCTGAGTCTCCGGAGAAGGGCGGCATATAAATCGAACCAATAAATAAATAAATATAATTATTAGAATTAGAAACAATAGGAGCCTTGGTAGTACAGTGGTCTAAAGCACCCTGTTATTAAGACCAGCTGCCTGCAATTACTGCAGGTTCGAATCTCACCAGGCTCAAGGTTGACTCAGCCTTCCATCCTTTCTAAGGTAGGTGAAATGAGGACCCAGTTTGTGGGGCAATAAGCTGACTTTGTATAAATATACAAAAGAATGAAGGCTATTGCTTAGCACATTGTAAGCTGCCCTGAATCTCCGGAGAAGGGCGGCATATAAATCAAATTAAAAAAAAAAATAGAGTTAGCATTAAGGTTAGGATAGGATAGGATAGGATAGGATAGGATAGGATAGGGCGGGAAGGGACCTTCGAGGTCTTCTAGTCCAAGCTGGGGACCCTATATAGCATTTCAGACATATGGTTTGTCCAGCCTTTTCTTTAAAACCTCCAGTGATGTAGCAGCCACCACTTCTAGTGGCAAGCTGTTCCACTGGCGAATTGCTTTCCCAGTTAGGAAAGTTTCTCCTTAATCCCAGCTTGCTTCTCTCCTGGATTCGTTTCAAATCCATTGTTTCTTCTCCTGCCTTCTGCGGCTTTCTGGTGGTCCCTCTCTGAATTTTTTTCCCCCCTATTCCGCAGAGACCGGATTTCTGAGTCCCCCCCCACTTTGACTACTTCTCGTGGAACAAAAGGAACACATCTGTGATGAAACCAAGAGAAAGCTGTGGTATATTTTAAACCAGTATTTTGATTTTAAGAGCTGTTTTCAAAGGCTGGCTTGTTGTGGAATGATGAGACCAAACAACATTCCTGGGTCAGCCAGAGACAGTTTTATTGCGCAAGGTTCAGAGCCAGTTTTGCACCTGCAACTTCGAACAAGGGAAGAACTCTGATACAACGGTTTTTATACATTTTCTAAGACAAAGGATTCAGTGAGATCATACATTTTCCATATATGGTTAACATGAGATCATACATCCGATTTTCCCTATATTTTTTTATTATTATTATTTTGATTTATATGCCGCCCTTCTCCGAAGACTCAGGGCGGCTTACAATGTGCTCAGCAATACATTGGTTACATACATTGGATAATATGCTCATCTAATTACTTAAACCATTAATTTTAGTTTATAAAATTATCTTAGCCACACAACTTTTCCTTAAGTGCTCGGAGTTGCTAATGGGAGATTTACTACTGTCCTTGGGTAAATTCATTGGATTAAGTAACTCTTTGTAACGTATAGGTCTTTGTGTCATTCACAGTGAGGCCACTCAGATGTTTTCCATCGTGACATCTAGGTTTCCTCAGAAGATATATTACCACTTAATGAGGTTTAACTGTTTGTTAATGTAATTTCCAACAAGCACTTTCCTATCTTATAATAATGTGGATAGAGAGGTTCTCTCCGAGTTCATATATCTGACTCTGTATGCTTCCTTTCTTTTATTCACATTATTTCTTATTTGCTATAATTCCTACTTTATTCACATCAGGCTGGCGTGGTGGCCATCGAACTGCAGGGGGCACAACCGGTGAATAAAAAACTTTCTGTTGTGCGCTTGTGCGCGTCTCTGTGTGTGTGTGTGAAAGTTTCTTAACTGCCTGGATGGATCTGTAACTTCCTGCTTCTGGCTAACACAGGAACCAGCTGGAGGAGTGGTTTTTAAAAAAGGCTTCTGGCTTAACTTGGGAGGGGGGGGGAGTGAGTGATGGGTTCTTTTGTGTAGGCTAAGCGGGGAAAAAAAAACAGATGTGGACCTATAACTCCCCCAAAATGCCTTAAATTAAAACCAGAGCTGCCTGGGTCTCCGGTAGGCTTCTTGGCAGATGCCAGGTGGTGCCTAGAGGAAAAAGGAGTTTAAAGAAAACAGGGTAAGTGAAAATAGTTCCAGGACAAATCCTCTCCCCTAAAGATGTTATTTTTGTGTAAGGAAGCGGTTCAGAGCTGCAGGGCTGGCTTGGCTTCAGCCCCCATCCTCTCCCCAGTCGCCGGAACGGTGACCAAAGCCTTCCCAACTTTGGGAAGTGGAGGAGGAGGAGAGGAGGAGAAGGAGAAATTGGAAGAGGAGGTGGAGGAGGAGGAGGAGGAGAGGAGAAGGAGGAGAAGGGGAGAGGAGGAGGAGGAGGAGAAGGAGAGGAGAAGGAGGAGAAGGAGAAGGAGAGGAGAAGGAGGAGAAGGGGAAGAGGAGGAGGAGAAGGAAGAGCAGAAGGAGGAGAAGGAGAGGAGGAGAAGGAGAAACGGGAAGAGGAGATGGAGGAGGAGAAGGAGAGGAGGAGGAGGAGAAGGGGAGAGGAGAAGGAGGAGGAGAAGGAGAAGGAGAGGAGAAGAGGAGGAGAAGGAGAGGAGAAGGAGGAGAAGGGGAAGAGGAGGAGGAGAAGGAAGAGCAGGAGGAGGAGGAGGAGAGGAGGAGAAGGAGAAACGGGAAGAGGAGATGGAGGAGGAGAAGGAGAGGAGAAGGAGAAGGAGGAGAAGGGGAAGAGAAGGAGGAGAAGGAAGAGCAGGAGGAGGAGAAGAGGTGGAGGAGGAGGAGAGGAGGAGAAGGGGAGAGGAGAAGGAGGAGGAGGGGAAGAGGAGGAGAAGGAAGAGCAGGAGGAGAGGAGGAGAAGGAGAAACGGGAAGAGGAGATGGAGGAGGAGGAGGAGAGGAGGAGAAGGAGAAGGGGAGAGGAGAAGGAGGAGAAGGGGAAGAGGAGGAGGAGAAGGAAGAGCAGGAGGAGGAGAAGAGGAGGTGGAGGAGGAGGAGAGGAGGAGAAGGAGAAGGGGAGAGAAGAAGGAGGAGGAGGAAGAGAAAGAGAGGAGGAGGTCTTTGCAGGACTTTTTGGAGCTTGGGGTCTGCCCGAAGGAGGAGGGGGTCAGCTGGCCTTTTAGGTTTCCCCGTAATGCAAATTGGGTTTTTTGGGGGGGTAGGTGGGTGGGTTTGAAGTCAATCCCGACTCCTGCATGAATCCAATCGAAAATCCTTTTCGGAAGGGTTAGCCTGGCCTCTTCCCGTCCGTGTGGCTTTAAAAGTCCAAAATCCTCCAGCCAGCCTAAAGTTGGAGCTAAAATGTAATAAGCGTTTTAGAATTCTTTATTGGCCACGTGGGATTAGACAGCACAAGGGATTTGGCTACAGCCATCGTGATGGAGGTAATTCACAGGTAAGGCTGTGAGCAGACCGAAACCTGGGTGTAAATTATGCCGAGTTTGGGTGTGTGTTTTTTAAAGGTTAACAAACACACAAACTCATGAGCTATCGCAACAGGGTAATCCCGAAGAAGGGGGTTAACCTATTCTAAAAGAGGGCAGGAGAAGAAACAATGGATGGAAACTAATCCAGGAGAGAAGCAACCTGGAATTAATGAGAAACTTCCCGACAGTGAGGACAATTAACCAGTGGAACTGCTTGCCACCAGAAGCAACCTGGAATTAAGGAGATTTCAAACCATGGAGCAGGTGCTCCATCACTGGAGGGCTTTTTTTAAAAAAAAAGAGAATGGGCAGCCATTTGTCCCACATGGTACAGGGTTCCCTGCTTGGCCATGGGGTTGGACTAGAAGACCTCTAAGGTCCCTCCCAACTCAGTTAATCTGTTATTTAAATAAGGACTTTCTTGTAAGACGTTTGGGGGTATCGAAGGCAAACGGTTTGAGAAGCCACCGCTTTAATTGCTGCACCGGTGTTCTTGAACCCCTGTGGATTTCAATTTCCCAGAATCCCCCAAGCCAGCCTGCTGATTTCGAGAATTCTGGGAGTTGAAGTCCACACGCATCTTAGAATTCCTGAGGTTGAGAAAGCGCTAAGCATTCAAAGGGCTTAGTTTAGCCGGGTTGGCGTGACAACAGTTGTAAGTTGAGGACCACCTGTAATTCAAAGGAACGGGGAGGGGAAAAATTAATTCTAAGTCCACAATGACAATTGGAGAAAGATCACTCTTCTGTTTATGGATTTGGGGACCTTCATTTAAGGCTGTATTTTTTTATTTTGCCATCTATTTCAGTCCTAAGAATGTGAATCGGTGTGAAATGCTACCGTTCGGGGCGGTTCGCCCGAACCGGTAGTAAAAATGATACCGGTTCGCTGGAACTGGTAGTAAAAAAATGCTTTAAGAAGTTAAAAAAAAAGTTTCAATGATCGCTTGGCGCAGAGGTTGAACTTTTTAAAAAACTTTTTAAAAGCATTTTTTTACTACCTATTACCTGAACCGGTATTTTTGTGTAGTTTGTTTTTGAGCTCTCGGTGACTCTGTGAGGTTCCTGGCTTGTTGCAGGGGTCATTTTGTGTGACGTCCGGCTGCTTTTGCATTGTGTGTGAGTCGGTTGTGTAGCTTTTGTGTTATTTTTGTGTGTAAAGTGTGATAGTTTTGTTTTTGAGTCCTCTGTGACTCTGTGAGGTTCCTGGCTTGTTGCAGGGGCCATTTTGTGTGACGTCCGGCTGCTTTTGCATTGTGTGTGAGTCGGTTGTGTAGCTTTTGTGTTATTTTTTGTGTGTAAAGTGTGATAGTTTTGTTTTTGAGTCCTCTGTGACTCTGTGAGGTTCCTGGCTTGTTGCAGGGGTCATTTTGTGTGACGTCCGGCTGCTTTTGCATTGTGTGTGAGTCGGTTGTGTAGCTTTTGTGTTATTTTTGTGTGTAAAGTGTGATAGTTTTGTTTTTGAGTCCTCTGTGACTCTGTGAGGTTCCTGGCTTGTTGCAGGGGTCATTTTGTGTGACGTCCGGCTGCTTTTGCATTGTGTGTGAGTCGGTTGTGTAGCTTTTGTGTTATTTTTGTGTGTAAAGTGTGATAGTTTTGTTTTTGAGCCCTTTGTGACTCTATGAGGTTCCTGGCTTGTTGCAGGGGCCATTTTGTGTGACGTCCGGCTGCTTTTGCATTGTGTGTGAGTCGGTTGTGTAGCTTTTGTGTTATTTTTGTGTGTAAAGTGTGGTAGTTTTGTTTTTGAGCCCTTTGTGACTCTATGAGGTTCCTGGCTTGTTGCAGGGGCCATTTTGTGTGACGTCCGGCTGCTTTTGCATTGTGTGTGAGTCAGTTGTGTAGCTTTTGTGTTACTTTTGTGTGTAAAGTGTGATAGTTTTGTTTTTGAGCCCTCTGTGACTCTGTGAGGTTCCTGGCTTGTTGCAGGGGCCATTTTGTGTGACGTCCGGCTGCTTTTGCATTCTGTGTGAGTCGGTTGTGTAGCTTTTGTGTTATTTTTGTGTGTAAAGTGTGATAGTTGGTTTCCCCGGTCACCCGACCACCAAGCCACGCCCACCCAGTCACATGACCACCAAGCCACGCCCACCCAGTCACATGACCACCAAGCCACGCCCACACAACTAGTAGGGAAAAATTTTGAATTTCACCGCAGATGTGAATGTAACAAGAAAGGAAGTAGAGTTCTTCGGTTGGCTAGGTTCAGATCTGTAGCATTTCCTGCCTGACTTCAAAAACAATTACAGGGTACAGGCGGTCCTCGACTTATGACGATTCACTTAGTGACCGTTCAAACTTACAGCGGGCACTGAAAAATGTGACTTGGGAACCACCGTTTTTTTCCGCCGTTACGACCGTCACAGCATCCCTAAGGTCACGTGATCAAAAATTCAGTTGCTTGGCAACTGGTTCCTATTTTACGACGGTCGTTGTATCCCCCGGGGGGGAGGGGTGTCACGTGATCCCCTTTTCGCGACCTTCTCATGAGCAAAGTCGACGGGGAAGCCAGATTGACTTAACGATGGGATTACTCACTTATCGACCGCCGTGATTCAATGAACAACGATGGCAGGAAAAGTCGTAAAGTGGGGCCAAAGCTCACTCAACAACCGTCTCGCTTAGCAACAGTAAAGGTTGGGCTCGGTTGTGGTCATAAGTCGAGGACTACCTGTACTGCTCGGTCCGCCAGCTGTATCAAAGGAGGAGGGAATATCAACCAATAGTAAATTTACCAATATGCAGGTAGTCCTCGACTTACAATAGTTTGTTTAGTGACCGTTCAAAGTGACGACATCACCGGAAAAAAGTGACTTACGACCATTTTTCACACTTAACAACCGTTGCAGCACCCCCCCCCAGGGTCATGTGATCGAAATTCAGTGGTTTGGCAACTGGCTCATATTTACGACAGTTGCAGGGTCCTGGGATCAGGTGATCGTCTTTTGTGGCCTTCCCACAAGCAAACACAATGGGTAACCCACCCTCACCGAACAACCGTGTGACTAATGTAAAAAATTGCAGTGACTCACTTAACAACCGTGGCAAGAAAGGTCGTAAAATGGGGCAAAACTCACTTTGCAAAGGTCTCACTTAATTTTGGGCTCAATTGCGGTCGTAGGCCGAGGACCACCTGTAACGCACAGATAGGTATATCCGTCAGCTGTTGGGGAAAAGTAAACCAGATCCGCTTGATGCAATCCATGAATTGTGGCTTAGCGTCGCTCCATCTGCCAATCCCTTCATTTTCCACTAAGTGCTGACTTGCGGCTGAATCACAATCTGTGGTTTGGGCTTCCTTGCATGTCACACTCCAAAAATCATGGAACAATCAACCGATGGAAGAGAACTTGCCTTTGGAAGCTGTGGGAGCTTCATCCCTGGAGGCTTTCCAAGAAGAGACTGGACTGCCCTCTGTCAAAAATGGTGTAGGATTTCCTGCTTGGGCAGGGGGTTGGACTAGATGACCTCCAAGGTCCCTTCCAACTCTGTTCATCTAAATCTAAAAAAAAAATCTAAAAACTCCTTCGGGCCAAGTTTGCCCTCTGAATAACGGGGCGAGGTGGCATCGGACACCAGGGCTCCTTGACCATCGAGGCAGCGGCATCGACCGCTGAAACCAGACCTGGCGAGAATTCCAGCCTTTGCAGGGAGTTATCCTTGTTTATTTTCTGAATTCCTGGGCCGAGCAAGGAATTTGCTGCAGTC